AATCAAATATTTCGAAGAAAATTTCATTTGATAAATCTTCGAAATGGGTATATCTATCCATTTGTGCAGGTAATAAGAATAAATAATGATAAAAACTATGAGTTAGTTTAGTTGTCTGTAAAGATTGTATGAAATGGCTGAGTATTTATAGAGAATATGTTATATACTTCATCATAAACAGCCTATAAGCAATATTGACGACAATAAGAAAATGAAAAATGATGTTGACTCTTGATTCTATTGTAATATTTGAACGAAAAGTAATAAAATATGTTTGACGATATCAATTCGTCCAATTATTTTCTATCGACATAATTTTTGTCCATATTGTAATCTTAAAGAGGAGAAGCGACAAAGAAAACGACGACTGTATTTCTTTGGATAGAAAATTTATCCAATCAGATCATAAATGGTAACCATGTTGCATCATTCTAGTGTACACAAGGCCAAAAAAAGAAAGAAATAAGGAATGGGCTGGGTTGTTTCTTTTGTTTAACCTCCATATGCACTGATATTTTACTCATTATCTTTATTTTTATTGGTTAATGCTTAAAATCTAGAACATATGTCCTTTGTTTGTATAGTCCGAATTGCCGGTATTTATCTATTATCTTCGTTCCACCAGTACATCAGAATGAGACGATTAATAAATAAGAAAGACGATATTTTTATCGAAGAAATTTTCAAATTTTAAATGTTACATTTATGCATCCTTGTTTGTAGATTTTTTCAAAGTTTTGAACATTGTTTTCAAAATAGAAAGTAAGTTTGAGAATGACTGTTGAAAAATCAAATGAACTTTGACCTAGATTTTATTATTGAGAAGAATCTTGCTAATAATTCGTCTGCTTTTAGCACCAAAACGAACTGCAACAACAACAACGATTTCCGAACCATCAGCAACTTTAGCTGAATCATCCAGTGGTTTTGCATTTGAAGTAAGACTTGTTGAATCACCACGACATAATGGAACAATTCATCCACCAATACATTTTCTTTCACTAAGTGCAAAAGGAAATCAAAATCAATTAACAACACCGTTAACACCAGAAAGTATAACACAAAAAATTAAAATGTGCTGAAGAACGTCATCTTAGTTTAGAATAACTTCGTGCGATATTACTTGCAGCTGAAAATAATCGACCGGTTGAAGTTAGTAAGATAAAAGATGAACAAGCTGAAGGTATGGAATTGGTTTTGTTTTCTAATTTAATAATTTTGCGTTTTTTTAGAATTCAAAAAAAAACCAACGGAAGAAAAATAACAAGAAAAACTTGAATCAGCGAAAGAAAATCTGAAACATGTATTACAGGCTAAAGTTGAAAAAACTAAAGCACCAGTTGAAAAGATTTAGCTAATGTTCAACAAAATTTAGCTAAACTTGAAGAAGATCGACAAGTATTACAAGAAAAAAGTGTTCAGAAATTAAATACAGCTGAAATAGGTAAAAAAAATTCTTTTTTTTAATTATTAATTTTTGTTTCTCATTAAAATCGACAGGAACAATTAGATCGTTTAATAGAAATATTAGATCAACTAATGAAATCATTAAATGAATATAAAAAAAATGAAGCTATTAAAAATCTACGAAAAACTGATACAATTTCAAATTGAAGAAAACTGAATAAATCAATATGAACTTCGAATAAATCTCTCTTTTTTGTATCAAAATACGATATTCTTGTTAAAACACTTTCACATGATGAAAGAAATTCAGGTAGGTAGATAAAAACTTAATTTAGAAAATTTTGCGTGGTGTCTCTTCGAAAATTTGATTGGTCTTCTCGTAGTTGGTGGCAATATTTTATTCAAATTTTTTCTTTCGGATGGAAAATTTAAAATTCTCGAAGAGACGCTGCCACCAGACTGCATAAAACGCTTGTTTGTGTTTCCGAAATATGATTTTGTTTTTAAATAGATTTGGCACTTCTATTCAAATTAGTTAGTCGAGTACCAAATGCAACCGATAAATTGAAAGAAATTGTTGAAGTTCACATTCATCAAATGGGTATTGATGCTATCGAACGAATTAGTGACAGTGCACTTAATGTAAAACAAATTTTTTTCGTTCTACCATATTTATGTTTTTTTCTTTGATCAGAATCCAAAACTATATGTTGAAACAATTCTGAATATTCATACGAAATTCTTGAAACTTGTAAAAGAAGCTTTTAATAGTGAACAAGATTTTACTACTGCTCTTGATAAAGTAAGTTGAATTTTTTTTTCGTTTATTGTTATTTTATATTTGTGTTTTAGGCTTGTGCTAAATTTATTAATAATAATGCAGTAACAATAACAGCTGGTAATACAACAAAATCACCTGAATTATTAGTTCAATATTGTAATACACTTCTACGAAAAGGGTTTGTCGAAAATTTGAAATTAACTATTGAAATATAATCAATTTAAATTTATAGAAATAAAGTGGTAGAAGACACAGATCTCGAAGAAGAATTCAATCAAATTATGGTATTATATTATTCTCTTTCTTCTTTTTTTTTGATTGTTTATTTTTTTTTCCCAAGTGATTTTTAATTATATTGAAAATAAAGATGTATTTCTAAAATTTTATCGTAAAATGTTTGCCAAACGTTTGGTAGGTCAATTATGTGCATCTGATGATTATGAAGAATTAATGATGTCAAAATTAAAAGTAATTATTATATATTTGATAATTATAATAAATCTATATTTAATATCTATTTTAGTTAGCATGTGGTTTTGATTATACATTAGAATTACAACAAATGTTTCAAGATATTTGTATTAGTAAAACTTTAACTGATCAGTATCGAACATATTGTGGAAGAAATCATATTCATGATATTGGTATAAACAATCAAATTTGTTTATTTTTTTTCTAAACTTATATCTGATTGTTTTTTTGTTCAGATTATTTTTTAGTAATGGTTCTCAAGTCAAATTCATGACCATTTCCTGCACCAACAAATTTTATTCTACCAGTTGAAGTAAGATTATATTTTCGTATCATATTTATTAAACTTTTTTCTTTTAGCTTAAAAAACCATTTGAAAATTTTACTATGTTTTATAATCAAAACATAATGGTCGTAAATTAATGTTACTTCATCAATATTCAAAAGGAGATTTACAAACATTATATACTAAACAAAAATATATTTCATATGTATGTATTAATTTATTCTATAGAATGAATAAATGATTTTGTTTTGTTTTGAAATACCAAAGGTATCAACATATGAAACGGTAATTTTACTTTTATTTAATAAACGTTCAAGTTGGACTGTTGAGCAAATACAAGATGAAACACAAATCGACATTCGTTTATTCTTACAAGTTCTTTGTAATTTATTGAAAAGTAAATTGATTACATGTTCAGATATTAATGATAATAAACTTGAAGAAAATTTAAATGAAAATGATATTAAAATGAATTATAATATTCATATAGCAAATGATTTTAACAGGTCAGTAAGAACATTGTGATTGTGGTAATACAATAAAATATTTCGTATGATCATCGGAATGACTATTCGACTTTGATTAGAAAGTTTCATTGAGATTATCAAAGTACGGTTCAACCGAATTTTGAACCCGATGAGTTCTACAGGGAAAATAATGGATGGATAATATTTCATTCATGATCAAGAAAATGAGAACTAAAACATGAATAATAGTACAAAAAAAACATTTGACCGCAGCAAATAATACAAAGGGTGTCCCGAGGGGGAGGAAAGGGTCAGGAGTCAATCCCCGCTCCACCAAGAAAAAGAAAGAACATCGATGGTAATTAAAATCATTACGTAGAATCCTATATTAATCTTATAGTGGATTAGGATCTATATTCCTGTGTTTTTTTCTCTTATTCAAAACTTGATAATCATGGATATTTTCTTATCTTCAAAATGTAATGTCCTATGTCAGATGTATCTTCTATTTTGTGCAATAAATATTTTTCTTTTTTTTTCATTAGGCACTTCTCGAAAAAAAAACATTAATAGATGGACTTTGAAATATGATACAGATTTAAATAGTAAATTGGAAAACTTTTTTTGGATTCTAATGATATTAATTTTTAGGAAATACAATTAATGCCAGACTTAATTGGTGATAATCATAAATTGTAAGATATTTTGAATGGTGTTATACTTTTTTTTAATATTCTTTTCCGATTCTTAATCCTTTTCAATAAACATCTACATCATGTATTTAGTTAAGTACTAAGTAATTTTTTTTTAGTTTCAGATATGCCTCAAGATTCTCGAAGAGGAAGAGACGAAACAGTTATTGTAAGTAAAAACAATGGTTAATGAAAAATTTCTATGAGAATTCTGACTGAAGCTTATCAGAATTTATTCGTTTAGGTTTATACATCGGCGGGCCAGCAGTAAAATATTTGGTGTGGCAATAATAATTTTCGGTGCGGCAATTCCTAGAAAAAAACGTTTTAAGGATCAATTTTTTTTCAAATTATCGGTTATTCCGAATATTTTTGCTGTGGCAACTGCCACACTTTGCCATGCTGGTGGACCGCCGATGGGTTTATGACTAATCTTGTGTTATTCCTGTCAAGATCCTCCTCTGATTTGACTATAAATCTTGACAGGAATCTCGTATCAGAATCCACGACAGGTCTTGACTAAAACTTGAGGAAATCTTGACAGAATCCTTTCTCTTATTCTTATCAGAATCTCAAGTAGGATTGAGTGCGAATCCTTGTAGGATCCTGAATTGTAAATTCCGAAAAAAAATCTGAGCAGAAAATTGGAAAACCCTGAAAAGAATCTTGAATCAAATTTGGCATGTTTTTTTGGATTATCATCCTAAACAATCCTTCAAAGCTTTCTCAAGGAATGATCAGGATTCAGACTAGGTTGTTATCTTTGTTTTAGAATTATTATGATGATGCTGTTGGCGGTAATGGTGCTGCTGTTGGCGATGATGGTCCTGCTGTTGATGGTGCTTTATTTCCAGATCCAATTGGTGACATTTTCACGGATGATTCATCAGGATCGTCAGCATCATCATTTATAACACTGTTTTTATCATCATCATCATCATCACCATCAGCAAGAGGAACGTTTTCAGGACGATACATTCTTTTGTCAGTTGCAATCAGTGGTAAGTCTTGTTAATAAATATTAACAGTATTTTCATATTCAAATATTCTGTTAGTTTGTATTATTGGTATATATGTTTCATATGGTAAGATTTTAATTTCAAAACTTTTAACGAGGTAATAATTTTACTTAAAAAAATCTTAATTTATACTTGTAGTCGAAAATAATGGACGTGCTGAAATTAGTAAAACAAAAGATCAACAAGCTGAAGGTATAGAATTGACTTTTTTTTTCTAATTTAATAATTTTGTGTTTTTTAGAATTTAAAAAACCAATGGAAGGAAAATTACAAAAACTTGAATCAGCGAAAGAAAATCTGAAACATGTATTACAGGCTAATGTTGAAAAAACTAAAGCACCAATTGAAAAAGATTTAGCTAATGTTCAACAAAATTTAGCTAAACTTGAAGAAGATCGACAAGTATTACAAGAAAAAATTGTTCAGGAATTAAATACAGCTGAACTAGGTAAAAGAAAAATTCTTTTTTTAATTATTAATTTTTGTTTCTCATTAAAATCGACAAGAACAATTAGATCGTTTAATAGAAATATTAGATCAACTAAAGAAATCATTAAATGAATATTAAAAAAATGAAGCTATTAGAACTGTACCAAAAACTGATACAATCTCAATTAAAAAAACTGAATAAATGAATATGAACTTCGAATAAATCTCTTTTTTTTTCTGTAATACGATATTCTTGTTATTCCTGTGTTTTTTTTCTCTTAGTCAAAACTTGATAATCATTGATATTTTCTTATGTTCAAAACGTAATGCCTTGTGTCAGATATATGTTCTATTTTGTGCAATAAATATTTTTCTTTTCTTTTCATTAGGCACTTCTCGAAAAGAAACATTAATAGATGGCCTTTGAAATATGATAAAAATTTACGAACGCCTTTGATCGTAGATATTTCAATGGGTGAATATATGCTGCACATCACCGATTCCATTTACAATTATCAACCGCGTAGGACCGAACCAAAATTGAAAAATGTCGCTATCCTGCTGTGTATTGCTATGAACATTTGTGACCTATTCATAAAGGTGTCAACTGTTCTTCGAACAAACAAAATATACATTCATATAATTCCATCAATTAGTAGTTCTTCTTTTTTTTTCTCTTTTTCTTACTTGATCAATAATGCAAGTACTTAAATAGCTACGCAAATACTTAAATAGCTATAAAAGATTTAAATAGCTAAGCAAGTACTTATAAACAGCTATGAAAAACTTAAATAGCTATGTAAGTACTTAAATAGCTAAATGCTTATTTAAAAAGTATCTCTTTTGAGAAGCTACGTGATGATCAACGAGACGATATATCTATTCAACAGAAAAGAAAGAAAAGATGTATATATGTGTATATATACTAAACATAAGTGAGCGTCATAAAATAACAATTGTTGACGCTAACAAGTCTAAAGTAAAAATTTCCCTTGAAAAAAAATCTAATTATCTTTCAGTCGCTTCTGAAAAAAATAAATATTTTTATTAATGATCTTATAAAAATCAGACAAGAAAAATTTGTTCGAATTAAACTCATCAAAATTTGTATCATACTAAATATCGATTCAATTACTTTACATTTACTATTATTCACTTTTCTCTTAGCTACTCAAAGAATTTCTGGTCCAATATGTCGACTATCAAATGGTCAATTTTTCAAATTCTTGGAGATTTCTCAATGATATGTAAACAAGAAAATGAAACATTATATTGATTTATATCTGCACCATACACTAAATAGAGTAGGTAGAAGTTACGAACTGTAGGGATACTAATGAACAATTCTGAACTGTCTCTCATCCTTCACATCAGAGAATACGATAAGGATGATTATTATAGAAAATGGTCTTTAATGACAACATTGAAAAAAACTCTGTTGTAAGTCTTATCATAATTCTTGTCAAGAATAAATGTGACACTTTCAGATAATAAAACATCTCTAAAAAATATTTGTGTATGAAAAATTATTTATCGTACTTTGTAGATAAGAAAAAAGTATTTCATCTTACGTTTTATTATTTAATCAAATATCTTTTATCGATATCAAATAAGAAATTTTGTCAATAAAATAAATTCATTGAAATTATATCAGAAAATAATATTTATTTTAGATTAGAAAAATAATTTCTGAGAAAAGAAAAAGAATTTCCATTAACAAATGATGAATAACACTCGACATGCCAACAATTAATCACGAGTTCATCAATGCTTTCATTTATTCTCAACCTAATTATAACAATTTACTTTATTTTCATCAAATAAAACGATCTATTATTGGTTTCTTTATCTTCTATTTAAAAAAAAATATTGATTTTAAGTGAAAAGTACTTTTATTTAAGTGAATTACTCTCCATAGAATAACTAAACATTTATATTGAAATTTAATAGAAGATTTTTTTTTTCCTAAAAAATAAAATTATTTAAAATATTTTCCTTCTCAATTGATTAAGATCGATATTTATTGAATTATTCCAATAAAAATATTTAATCGATGATTACATCATAAGGAGAAATTTTAAAAAGTATTTTTATTTTATATAATATTTGTATTTATATGATAGATATACTATTTTTAAATGAACTATCATTTAAAATAATTTGATTTATATTTATATTTATATTTATATTATCTAAAAAACAATTACATTAATTATTTATCGAGAAAACGGAAATTAATTATGATCAAGTGAAAAACAAAAAATCTTTTTTTTTATTCAATTTTATTTATTTATATGTCAATGTATATCAATCATCAAATATTTATTCAAAAGTTTTTTTTTTATAAATTTATTTGTTAGATAATCTAAATGAAAATATTATCAATTGAGAATAAAGATTTACTAAACCTTTTATTCAAATAACAGATTAATATAATGAATTTTATTATTTAGTAAATAAATCAATTCTATTTATTTAACAGAATTGAGATTCAATTCAATTAATACCTGATTAAATTCATTATATTAAATATCTATTCAATCGTACAAAATCTACTTTTTTTTCTTCAACAGAATTTTTCGTTACACGTATCAATCGATCAAAAATATTTGTTTTTTTTTAAATCTTTTTTATTTAAAATTGAAAAATAGTTTAAATTTATTTGATTAAAATTGAAAACTTCCTGTTGATTGATTTTATCTAATTAGATCAAATCAATAAGATCATCAACACACTAATGCATCTATAGTTCGTCAAAAAAGATTTACCATCTAAATCTAACCTGTACTCCTTCTCAGCTTTTTTTCACTCAATTTTGTCTTGTGAGAAAGTACAGGTTAAATCTTGATGATAAATTCTTTTTGACGAAATATAGAGATTATTCGACGCAGGTTTTTTATGCTGATTCCGAATATTGTATCGAACTGATCGAAAAGTAA